CATTGTTGTTGTCACACTAAAAATAAGATAAGTGCAGTGTGCATAGGCATTCGTTAATTATTTTTCAAAATATAGTCAAAAGGATAGCGATTTGACCTCAGTTTAAAAAAATAATAAATTAAAAAATTGTGAAACTTCTGATTTATAATATGATGAAAAAAAAAAAAGAATTTCCGGTATGCGCCTAAATGCATCTCAGCATTTTGATTTTATAAAAAATTGTCCTCTCCAGACTACCCCTACCCAGGGCCGTCTTAACAACATAGGAGGCCCTGGGCAAAAAAAAATATTCGGTTTTAAAGTGGCTGGGACATCAAAATATTTAATATTATAGTTCATGGGCGTGAAATAAAAAGTGTGCAGTGACGTATCATGTGGGGAAGGAGTGTAGCGAAAATTGGGATTCTTAAATGTGCGTTACTTGAGTTCATGTTTTGTCAAGTAACTTTAGTAGATGGTAAGTTCACGCATTATTGTCACCAATGTTTGGAGGGCTACATATAGTATTATAATTATATTAATATTCTTATGTCCCACCCTCTTTTACACCTCAGATTTATTTCACCAATTATTTCAGAAAAAAAAAATACTGCGCACCAAACGTTCTTGTGATATTTGTGTTTCCAAGAATCTCATTTAGCGCAGTTATCGGTGTGGGAATTGTGTTTCAATAAATAAGTTGCATCATATTTCCCTCGTCTTTCCCTTGAAAGACAGGAACAAAAAATGATTTTTGAGGGTTTGTGCTGAAAATTTGATGGAATGTGTTGCCGTCGGAAACGTTTTTATGTGACAAGTTTCAGCTCGATATGTTGACGGGAAGTGAGGCAGTAACTGCACAAGAGTGAACTAATTATAAAGGATCTAAAATTATTTCTTACTGTAAAGTTATATGCGAATTTAAAATAATTTTGAATAAAAATTATTAGTTAATTACTTAAACTGCATGACCTTTGAAGGGGAAAATACTCTTAACCCCTTAACAGTAAAATATTTTATAGTTACACCCCATAAGATCTTTATAAACACAAAATTGGCCGCAACGTCAACTTGAAAAAGTTAAATATTTTTTCACCAATATCCAGTGGCACAACTAATTATTGAGGCAGCCTGCAGGTTTATTTTATTTGCAGACTCATTTTCTTTTAAAAAATATAAAGATTTAAGACTTTTAATTTTAATCAAGTTAAATTGAGATATGCTTGGACTTTTTGGACCAACTTGGACTAGGACGCCTGGGCCTGGACGGGACTAGACCTAGTGCTTTCTCTGAATACCTCTCTTCTACTACTTGCCCTTTTGTCGGAAAATTTAGTTTGCTGCGATGTACATTCACTCTCAATAATTCACGTACACTCTCACTGAATCACAATGATTGCCTTGTATTTTGATATTTTGTTTTGAAATGATGTGTAAAGTGTAATGTAATCACAGTTATGGTAGTAAGTGTAAGTGAAGTAAATGCTCAAACTGGTAGATATTAAATATTAATAATACTAATCTCATTTTTTGGGGGTCAATATATTTATTATTTTAACTGTGCCTAATGCTAAAAATTTATTCTGACACAGAACTTCTATAAGAACACTGCATAGCTTTAGATAGATTATTCTTTTAATTCAGTGAAATCATGGCCTGCCTTATTTACCCATTGACGCAGTCGCAAACTCATCTAGGCTCCATATTTGAATTTGTAAATAAGCCTCGCCTGAATTAAAATTCACTTTTTTGTTTTAAAAAAAGGGAAGTTTTCTACATTTAAAGTAGCATTGTCATCCTTTTTTGATACATTGTATTTGTCAATATTATACCTACTTACTACTACTACTACTAGTCTCTTTGTAAAAACTATGACTATGACATGTTTTATACATTTGAAAACAACAACCATAAAATGCTTTAAATTGGGCATGCAAAGAAATTTCCAGGAGCAGGTAATATTTAATTAGATTTCGCCTGCTTATAATTAGGCCTAAAAAAAAATTATTATTTAAATACATAGGCTACATCAGGTATTGGAAAACCCTAAGGCCTGTCTGGTCACATACATCATCATACAGCCTGCTGAAATCTGCACCTCAAGACTGTCAGGTAAAAGTATAAATATTTCATAAAATGTACAAATTGTGAGAGTCTGTGAATGATTAGACTATCTGTGAAATCCTTTGAAAATTAATAATTGAATTGTACTATTTTTAAATTGAAAATCACAGAAATTTAAAAAATTATTCCACTGCTTATAATTGGATTAATTTTTTAAACAATCTTGAAGTTGAATAAGGTACGTTAAAAGTATTCCTTTTATACTCATGCAGCCCACCAAAAAAAAAAAAAAAAAAAAATTATTTCTATGCAGCCCTCTATAAAAAAAAAATTTGGCCATACCTGTGCTAATTAAACATTATTGCAATTTAAACTCAACTATAGAAAATTATTTAATGTGCATTCATTGCATTTAAATGTGTCTATGAATAACATAAACTGATATAAGTGCTACCATAAAATTAAAGAACTTCAGATTTTGATGAGTTATATTATCAAAATATTGAATTTACCAAAGATCAAATGCATTTATAATTTCATTTGGTGTACACTTTGTCATTATGTTAACATTGATGAGATGTCATTGTAAACTCTGATGGCGTCGCAGCATGAATAAAAAGAGCAAAAATAGACAGACTCTTTCAATTTTAAAATTTGGTACAATCCAAGACCCTATTAATACCATCTAATATAATTAGGAATAGGCTGAATCAACGATTAATTAGTCAAATGAGCCTGATTACCATCAAATCTGAAGAAAATGGTGAATCAGGCTTTAATTGTCTATGAATTGATACAACATTTTTTAAATGTAAATTTGAAAATTAAATTTTTATCTAGTTGATTTTTTTGTCAAAGACACAAAGAAGGCCAGAAATTAATCCACATGGTCAGGTTACAACATCAGTTGGGTCACTACATTGCCACAGTGTTTTCAATTTTTCATATTTCCTAATTTCCTTTTTTTTTTTCAAATCGTTAGGGCACCAAAATAGAGGGATTCAGGTAAATACTGTAAATCGTGTTAGGGGTTGAAAGGATAAATATAGGGACAAGGCTGCTTGCTTTAAAAATTATAATCTTTAATCATCAAGAAAAGGATAATCTTTTTGACACACAAACAAAACCTTCACATGAAAAAAAAAAATGTAGTTTTTTTTTAATTATAATGTGAATTTATTGAACTAAAATTCAAGTAACCAGATTTTTTTTTCTTGTACTCAGTCTATTAGCCCAGTCATATTTGGATTGTATAACAGCGGTTCCCAATTCTTTTTAACTTTACCATTCTATAGTCTAATACTTAAACAATTGCTTATTTTTCATATTTTAATGTAACAGTGATATTCTCAAAAAATATGCATTTAGACGACCTCAAAGAATACATTTATAAACTTAAAGAATAATTCGGAAATTATGTTTTTATCAAAATAGTTTATAGCTCACAAACTGAAAAAGCATGAATAACACTATCATAAAATCACAGAGATGATTTTTTTCTGGCTGGCAGAATACAATAAAATGCCGTAATTATTATTTTTTTTTTTTTTAAACTTAACGCAAGAGCAACATTTCTTGGTGTTGATCATCACTACTGACTACACTACAGCTGCAGTAATTAAAATTTCAATGAAATGCATTTGTAAATAAAGTAATGGTTCATTTCTTAAACAGTTATATTTATTTTCTTTATGTTATTCATATTTTGGAATAATGAATATGAAGACACACACACAAAAAAAAAAAAGGAAGAAAAAATGGGAATAAAATCAATATTTCAAAGCTTAATAATATCTAAAATGGCAACAAAAGGAAACAAAGCAAATTTTTTTTTTTTTTTTTTAAATGGTTTAGTAATGAGTCAGAGAGCCAGAACAAATATTGAATTATTTGTCTTTTAGCTTTAAGATGAAAATTCTGGATTTTTTCCCTTGTATTTTTTTCCCCCGTTTGATTCATATGGTTAAAAAGGAGGTAACAAGAACAGGGGAAAGCTAAATAAAGTCTTTTTAGCCTCCTTGATTTAAAAAAAATGGTCTGATGACATTATTGACCGCTAGTGGAGCTCCATATTTAAGCTTTGGTAAATCAGATGCTGGTTAGTAATTCATTTTTAACATTCTATGATGACCACTGACTTTTAGTTTTTTTTTCTTCAGTTTTCAAAGTTGTATATTTTTGCTAAAAAGTAAAATTTAAAATTCAAAACTGAAGCTGTTCAATTTTATACATGTGATCAAATATTTTTGTGATACTGAAACTGCTGAATGTTTGCTATTGTTTTTTTAAATAACAACATTGCTAATGAGACATTAATTGTAATTTTCATGGAGTTTTCTTTTTTAAAATATTTTAATGATTCAAGGACAAATTACATTTTTGAGACATTTAAAACAACAAAAATTATTATAACATGCAAACTTTCTAGAAGGAAATGGCTGATAAAAATACAGAGCTTTAATGGACATTGGAAAGTTCTATTAAGCTAGTACCCGGTACCGTGTATCATTAGTGCTTTAAAAAATTTTTCTTTGTTTTTAGAAGTGAAATTCTCCATGAACATATTTTATGAATGTAATGTGATAAATTTAAAAATAAATTTTAACGTTAAATTTCTTTCTTAATCGATTAGCAGGTTTAAATCTTCATTTAGGATTAGTCAGCTGAAGATGTGCCTCTGGCTTTTTCATTTCTTGAGTTTTATAACAGTTTCAACCTTCTGCAATGGTAAACCTTTCACCTCATTTCTTATTTGTACCATCCTGATATAATAATTTTGGTCCTGAACTGAATTTACTTCTCCTTCTTTTTATATATTTTATTAAAATTTTCATTAGCTATCACATTTAACGACACACCAATCCACAAAACATGAAGTAATAATTGTAAAAAGGAAAAAGAAAAGAAGACAAAGAATTGAATTTTTTTTCCCAACAGGCCAGAATGCCAGGATAGGAGAGGTATACAGTGAAGAGGACTTGATCACCCGCCTTCTCAGCCGTTACGTGAAGGAAGCTCGGCCAGTTATTAATCCCAATGAAGCTGTTTCTGTTTCTGTCAAGTTTTCATTCGTCAGAATTGAAGACTTGGTAAATTTCATTTTTGTTAATAATTAGGAGCGCATCATGCCAGTTTGGTAATGTAATCAATATTAATGTAATAATTTGAATTGAAAGCTATTATCAACCCCAATTTATTTATGTTTATGAATTCAAAAATACTTTTTACAGCTGCTTGTTTATTTTTCTTTCTTTTTAAAAAAATTATTTTAGTATTTTTAGCTTCAGTTCATTAAAAACCAATATTGACACCTAGCTTTGACCCACATCTGTATGGTAAAAATGAATTCTTTGATAAAAGTATTGTTATTTTTAATAATAATGTTATGATTTTGCAAGTATTTTTTTACATTTGATAATTTCAAAATATTTGAATTCAAATAAATTGATTATAAATGCAATTAAAGTATTCTCATTTACTGAGTTTTTTTTTTAAAGTTAATGCTCTCCCCTGGAATACTACATGTTACAATGTGACTTTCTCCTACACTGTTAACGTATTTCATTTAATTTCATGACAAAAACAGGATGAGGCCACAGATACATTTTCATCCTCGGTGTTCATTGTTCAGGTCAGTTGTTCACCTTGTTTACTTTTCACTTTAAAAGTTTCCCCTGACGCCGCCGTGGCATTTTAGGTGGCAACTAGAATTTTCCTCCTGTTAAGTTCCTTCATGATTGGATAACAGCGTCAGAGCAAGGGCGGATAAAAAAAAATTTGACCACATTTTAAATGTGGGAGGCACTTGCGGTCAGTAAATTATGCATGAATGGATTGGTTTACTTCTAAGGAGATATGCTTTGACAGATCCTTAATAGTCATTTCCGGGGGCCATTGAATTACTACAAGCAACTTTGCTTGAAATGAATTGACAGATATATTCAACAACAGTAACTGAACCTAAGTTTATCTATTTCCCAAAAGTTAACGGACAGTTTCCTTCCCTATTTCCCAAAAGTTAACAGACAGTTTCCTTCCCATCTGCAGATGTGGAATGACCCGAGGTTGAAATGGAATGTCTCAGAGTTTGGTGGTGTTCGCAATGTCCGGCTGCCAGCCAGCAAACTATGGATTCCAGATCTGGTACTCTATAATGTGTGAGTTAAACTTCATCTCCCAATGTGTTTTCATTTCTCAGTCCAGTGCGTACGCATTAGACAGGAAATGGTTTAATCTGTTGGAAGTTAATTGGTGTGTTACTCACCATAAATCAGTTGAGTGTGGTCTTGAAAGTTTGGGGGGGGGGGGGGGGCAGGCTCACTCTGGCTGGTATGCATGTCATTGATTTGCCTTGTCTTCTTGTCTTTCAATAGTCTTTCTGCTATATGCATTTTCCCCTTCCTTTCTGCAGAGCTCACAAAAGTCCCCCCCAATCCTTGTACGAGGAAACTGTGACGGTGACATCGGACGGAAGTGTTGTGTATGTGCCCATGCTAACATTGTACAGCACTTGCCCCATGGACCTACGGGACTTCCCGTACGACATACAAAGCTGCAGTATGGTGTTTGGATCGTGGATGCACACTAGTTGGGAGATGAATGTTACTGTAAGTCAAGGATTAATTAGATTGGAATTCATGGGTTAGAAATGACTTTTACAGTAAGTTAAAGGCTATTTAGATTTTGATTTCTTGTGTTAGAAATGACTATTACAGTTAGTCGAGGGTTATTTAGATTTTGATTTCTTGGGCTAGAAATGACTATTACAGTTAGTCGAGGGTTATTTAGATTTTGATTTCTTGTGTTAGAAATGACTATTACAGTTAGTCGAGGGTTATTTAGATTTTGATTTCTTGTGTTAGAAATGACTATTACAGTAAGTCAAGGGTTATTTAGATTTTGATTTCAGGGGTTAAAGGTTGAGGGTGCAAAGTGGAGAATGATGTGTGTTGTTAGGTCAGGTAGTGTCATAGAGCTTGATGGATCTCAAACTGGATGCTCAAAGGATCTCGACTTATGACTGAATCCAACCACACAAAAATGTCTAGGGTGTTTGATAGAAATGGCCTTAAGGCTGCACATATCTCTTTGTCAGTTCATTTCCAAGAAGACCGAGATGGATGTGGTGCTAACTGAAGAGGACTCGTCCTACCTGGTACATCAGCACCCCCAGTGGGAGCTGGTCAACAACAAGGCCCACGCCAAGCTTTCCCTGAAGAAGTACGAGTGCTGCCCCCAGCCTTTCACGCTCATCACCATCACCGTCCAGCTGCAGCGACGGCCACAGTTTTACCGATACCTCACGGTGGGGCCGGCCGCCATCATGGGCCTTCTGGTTCCAGTTATTTATCTGGTCCCTGCTCCAAGTCACGATAAAACTCTGTTTGGTAAGTCTCGTTGTCAAATGTGTTCCCTAGTAGTACCCACAATCCTCTTTCTGTCCTCTTGCTATCCTCTTGCTGTCCTCTCGCTGTCCTCTTGCTGTCCTCTCAGATACTACTTTGCAGCATAGTGGTTTTTTTAATTTAATTTTTTTTTCTATTGTTTTTTGTTAGCTGTAGAAGGCTTGTTGCCCACACGTTCGTTCCTTTGTTTATTCATTTTTTTTCCAGGTTTCCCCATACTTTATTTAACTCATTGCAGTCTGTGCTATATCAGTGTTACTTTTAAACCATGTATTGTAACATGATGACCGTGGCGAGTCTGCTGGCAATATTTGATGTATGTTGAAGCTGTTTGATGAGTTGATAATAACACTTTACAGTGTTGGAAAGCTGTTGATGGCTTTTCTATTGACATTCTGTATTAACAGCTTATCAGTTGCATTCTTACACAAAATATTGATATTTTGTATAAACAGCTCAGTCGGTTGCTTTCTTACACCATTATGTGTCATAATTTTTTTAAGCGGATCCTTCATATTTGATCTCTTGTTAACATCAAATAATGAATTCAAGCTACTGAAATAAGTTTCAATAAATTATGTGCTTCAGAACACACTGCTTTATTTTTGTTATAACACACTGCTTAATTTTTGTTACAACCCACTGCTTCATTTTTGTTACAACACACTGCTTCATTTTTGTTATAACTAACTGCTTTATATTTCTTATAACACACTGCTTTATTTTTGTTATAACACACTGCTTTGTAACTATATATATATATAATTCGCCAGAAGTAGGGCAAACAACAAGATGACCATGCAGGCTATTTATAGATATGCCAGAGCAAGCAAGACGCAGGCAAACCCTCCCCTCCCTTCCTTTGCCACCCTTGCTTGCCAACCAGCTCGCGGCATATGCTAAGCCCCGGGTCGGCATGAAATAAAATGTGTGCCGTGACGTATCATGAAAGGGGGAGGGGGGGGGGCGGAGCAACATTTCCATTCTTAAATGAGCGTAACTTGAGTTCACGTTTTGTCAAGTAACTTTAGTAGATGGGAAGTTAACGCATTTCTGTCGCCAATGTTTGGCGGGCTATATCCACCCTCGCTTGCCAGCCATGCGCTCACTCCAACAAGCTCGCGGCAAATGCTACGCTGCGGGTCGCCTAGTTTCTTATAACACACTGATTCATTTTTGTTATAACTCACTGCTTTATTTTTGTTATCAGTATCATATTCTGCTTGAAGAATATAAATAATGTTTTAAAAGAGTGTTGTTTTCCTTGCCGTTATAAATACCAATTGAAGAAATGTTTAATGTCCCACCTGCTGGGGTCACTTAGGATCCCAGTATGGGGGTCAAAAATTTTATAAGGTTAGTTGTGTCTGAAGTTACATGTAACAGTCAGGGTTTTTGAATATTTTTTTCTATCTGGAAGAAATTAAAAATATGTCAAAGGTTGAATAAATTACCAATGAAATGTTGGGCTCTTAAATCACCCAACTGGACTGTCCACCTGATGTGACAAGGAAGAAAGTTTGGAGCTTTTACCTTAAGTGGCTTAACGTCCTGTTACATGGATAAAACTTGACATTGTATGATGAGATCTAAATATCTGTTTGCAAAATAGAGCAAAAGCCACTGAAGAGGCCTGTGCAAAAAATGTCAGGTTTACAGGTGATATGTGTGTGATTGATTGGGAATGTAGGCGTCTGATTGATTGGGAATGTAGGTGTCTGTTTGATGTGGAATGTAGGTGTCTGATTGATTGGGAATGTAGGTGTCTGTTTGATGTGGAATGTAGGTGTCTGTTTGATGGGGAATGTAGGTGTCTGTTTGATGGGGACTGTAGGTGTCTGATTGATGGGGAATGTAGGTGTCTGTTTGATGGGGAATGTACATTTCTGTTTGATGGGGAATGTAGATGTCTGTTTGATGGGGAATGTAGATGTCTGTTTGATGAGGAATGTAGGTGTCTGTTTGATGGGGAATGTAGGTGTCTGTTTGATGGGGAATGTAGGTGTCTGTTTGATGGGGAATGTAGGTGTCTGTTTGATGGGGAATGTAGGTATCTGTTTGATGGGGAATGTAGATGTCTGTTTGATTGTGAATGTAGATGTCTGTTTGATGGGGAATGTAGATGTCTGTTTGATGGGGAATGTAGATGTTTGATGGGGAATGTAGATGTCTGTTTGATGGGGAATGTAGGTGTCTGATTGATTGGGAATGTAGGTGTCTGTTTGATGGGGAATGTAGGTGTCTGATTGATTGGGAATGTAGGTGTCTGTTTGATGGGGAATGTAGGTGTCTGATTGATTGGGAATGTAGATGTCTGTTTGATGGGGAAAGTTGGATGTCTGTTTGATTGGGAATGTTGGTGTCTCTATTGATGGGGAATGTAGTGGGAACTTAGGTCCCTAATTGATTGGGGACCACTCATGCAAAGGCATTCATATTTATGTTGTAAAGGACAACATAGCTGTGTGTGCTTGGTTATATTTTAGTTTTAATTTCAAGCTTCCATTCGCAGGACTTTTGCTGCTGTTAAGTCTGACTATCCTGATGAGCATTTTGCAGCAGGCCATTCCATTTGACCACGGTTCATTACCAAAAATTTGTAAGTTATTTTCACACATCTTAAGAGCAGGATTTGCGAGCTTAAGTAAAAAATTTAAGGACCCAAATTTCTGATATTTTGTTTAAAAAATATATATTAAAACAGTTGTGTGTTGTTAATGCATGATCCATTCAATCTGTCATACATTAGAATTCTGTCATACATTAGAGTTCTGTCATACATTAGAATTCTGTCATACATTAGAGTTCTGTCATACATTAGAATTCTGTCATACATTAGAATTCTGTCATACATTAGAATTCTGTCATACATTAGAATTCTGTCATACATTAGAATTCTGTCATACATTAGAATTCTGTCATACATTAGAATTATGTCATACATTAGAGTTCTGTCATACATTAGAATTCTGTCATACATTAGAGTTATGTCATACATTAGAATTCTGGTATACATTAGACTTCTGTCATACATTAGAATTCTGTCATACATTAGAATTCTGTCATACATTAGAATTCTGTCATACATTAGAGTTCTGTCATACATTAGAGTTCTGTCATACATTAGAGTTCTGTCATACATTAGAATTCTGTCATACATTAGACTTCTGTCATACATTAGACTTCTGTCATACATTAGAATTCTGTCATACATTAGAATTCCGTCATACATTAGAATTCTGTCATACATTAGAATTCTGTCATACATTAGAATTCTGTCATACATTAGAATTCTGTCATACATTAGAATTCTGTCATACATTAGAATTCTGTCATACATTAGAATTCTGTCATACATTAGAGTGAATTCAAGAAAGAAATATCTGTGCCTTTTTTTGTTCATTAGCTAGTGAATATATATGAAGTTTCTTATCCCCCTTCAATACTTAAAGCGATAAAGGACTCTTATCATTTTACTTCCATTATGTGTAAAACATCTTCTTCTCATCTGTTATTATTGATACTATATTATAATTTCTTTTCATGCAATTAACTTTGTTCCAATCTTGACATTCAGGCTCATTTTACCTGGGCACCATGATATTGACCTGCATGAGCATTGTGACATCCGTCATTGTGGCCAACATCAGTGTCAGAGGAACCAGAAGGAAGCCACTGCCTGCTTGGATACATGCGGTAAGGGAAATCCTACTTAAGTCAAACATATATCCACATCTTATGTTACACATCAGTGAATCTTGGGTGGTGGGTAACTCATCTAAGAGAAGACAAAACTCTGAAATCAAACCCTGAGATGGAGTCCCTTAGGCGTTATGACATTGACACAATGACAACTCCAGCAACGTTGATCGCATAAAGAGCACAATGAAACGCAAAACACTCGCTGCTGGTCATCTACTGCATCTTGGTCTATTTCCAGTCATCTTAACTTACTAAGTCTTGCCGTTGGATAAAATAGACAAAGATGAGAGAGTGAAGCTGACGAAATGAGTAACTCTCCATCACTTTAAAACAAATCACAGCTCAATTCAAGGCTACTACTCAGTTACTGGTCATTTTCGTGTGCGAAGGACGAACAAAAATAATACTACCTACCACTTTTCATCATCACTATTATGTGTAGGCATTGATGGGCTGGCTAGAGTTTGAGACGTTGCATACATTCAGGCTCAAACAGGGAGTTGTCTAGAGCAGGCCTGCACAGCTCAAAATGTAAGGAGGGCCTTAATACGTTATGAAAAACTTGCGCAGGCCCTAATGCGTTATGAAAAACTTATAGTTTATCCACGATGTCTTATAGTTTATCCGTGATGTATTATAGTGTATCCACGATGTCTTATAGTTTATCCACAATGTCTTATAGTTTATCCATGACGTCTTATAGTTTATCCACGGATCAAATAATCCTCATAAACTGTCCAACTTTTATTATCAAAAGACATGAACTTTAAACTTAATAACTTTTCTTAGGAAAGCTTGAATCACCACACTGTGGTAAAGTATAATGAAAAATACTATTGTACTTTCTTTATATAATTTTTAAAAGAATGAATGAAGCCCAGGGCTTAACCGAGTGCAGTTATTTTACATGGGATCCAGGTATTTTGAGAAATAGGCCTAGAGACAGTCATACACCCTACCTCCTGGCCTTTAAACAGTGTATCTACACCCTGCCTGCCAGCCATTGAAAAACAATGCTACGGACAGTTCAGCAGACAGTCCTACACCATACCAGTGGCTCTTTATTGAGGGGGGAAGGGGGAGGGGGGGAGTTGGTTTCAAAACTGAAGCAAGACAGGACACAACAGAAGCAAAATAAATCTAAGAGATTACAAGGTTTTTTAATGAAATAGAAATATTGTAGATTAACATGTTTCTGTTTTCTGTTCTGAGAAAATAATATAATATATGGTTTTATGGTGTGTAATTCTTAAATATTTATTTGTGTGAATGATTTATTTCAACATGATTTGTATCTTGTAATGTATGCCTGGGCCTTGACCAGCACAAGACTCAATAATTTAGTCTATCAAGCATTCTAGTTAAAATTTCATTAGTGAAATCAAAACCTGTGCCTATATTAATCAACAAACTTTCGTTTCTGTCCAATCTTTTAAAAAGTTTAACCATTTTTTTTTCATCAGATATTTCTAGGAAGGAAAAGTCTGCGTAGGCTTGTCTGTATTGGAGACTACGGACCCATCGGCAACCTCTATGCCACTGAACTTCAATCTACGACCTTTGCGCACGGATTACAGGATGTTGAAGGCGCGGTGGCAGGGGAACAGCTGCTATCCAACAGCGGAGAGGAGTCCGGCAGCAGGGACATGGCGCAAATGAGCAGACACGTCAAGTACATTGTAGGCAAGCTTGCCGCTGATGTGACTTATCAGAACATCAATCAAGAATGGGAGGAGCTTGGAAGAGTGATTGACAGGTGCCTTTTCTTGGCTTTTTTTGCGCTGTACATTTTTACTGCATCTTCTTTATTGTAAACGGACAAAGCTGTAGATATGAGAAAAGAATGTTGAACTTAATTTTAACGAGATAACCCAGAACTAAAGTGAAATGGCCTTGACCTCTTCAGCATTTACAAATATTAAATTAAAAATCTCTGATAATTTCATGATCACATGTAAATATCAGCAACACAAGTAACATATTTTTTTTACAACAGATTCTTTGAATAATTCTCCCAACAATATGATATTATATGCTTTTTATTTTTTTTTTTAAATGTAACTCTTTGAAGGAAACTGTGTTCATTAATGTTAATCAAGCCTTACATGCTTTAAATCTGTAGAAGCTTGGAAAGAAATAGTATTTTCTGTAATGGCCAAAAAAAGTTGGTCGCACTGTGAGTACCAGCCATCTGGGGGTCACGGGTCAGAATTAGTCCACATTAGGCCTTGACTCAAAAAGTTTTTAAAAAATTTTTAACATAAATGCAAAAAAACCAAAAACATGTTATAATATACACATTTTATTTCTTTATGCACATTTATTTAACTCTGCGGGAACATCAAAAGGTACAATGTTTTTTTGTTGTGTGTTTTTTTTTTAAATTTAATTTGAAATTTTTTTTATGAAGATGCAATTATTCAAGATAATCATGTGGACTGAACCATGAATGTCATTTTGATTTCTTATTGACCTAATCACATTTGAAATGTTTAAACAAGCTGCTAGTGTCTGTACTTTTTACAGACCTAAACACACTTGAAATGTTTAAACAAGCTGCCAGTGTCTGTACTTTTTACAGACCTAAACACACTTGAAATGTTTAAACAAGCTGCTAGTGTTTGTATTTCTTATGTACTTCTTATTGAATTGTTTTGGCGAACTGCTTATTTTCAGGACAACCAAAGTTTTGTTGTCGGCTGTTACCATTTTGATTATTCTCAATCTCAAAGTGAAACTGAACTAAAAGAACTGCCAAAAGCATTTTAATACAATACAGTTTAATTTTTAAAATTTCTTTTTATTTTTCTGTATTCGAAAAGTTTCAAAAAGATATACCAAAGTTTTCAAAGAAAACCAACCACGATGGCCAAATTAGATTATTTTATCTAAAGTAAAGTTTACATCTTACCTTATTCATGCTTTAAATCTAAACAAAAAGTTTTGTGTATCTAAAATTAAAATATAAATGGAGGAAAGAATAATTTTAATTTAAAACCTTCGATTCGGATAACGCATAAAAACTGCAGCAAAATTTAATTGTTACGTCTGTAAATCTGTTCAATTTTTTAAAATCATTTCTTGTTTAAAATGATGATCATGCTGAGAAAGAAATATCCGAATGTTCCTAAACTTATCCTTTAAACTGCTCACAGACTCAATATTTTACCTAAAACCACCTGTCCATGATGGGTTTCCATGGAACATTCTCATCTTCAACTCGGCGGACCTTTCGTATCGGGCCAGATTAACTTGTGCCACTTTTATAAAAACTGTCTTCTAGGTGCCAACAAATTGTTCTTTTGTTGAACGAAACATTGGAAATATGGAATGCTATACCTTAATTAAACGGATCAAATTGTTTTCAATCACTACTTCAGTCATCTGCCAGATAAATGTGCTACACAGATATTGTACTGCTAGCAAGATGGATCATGGTTTTTTTTTTTGTTGTTTTTTTTTTTTTTATTATTATTTTTTTTATTCAAACATTTTTAGAATGTGTCGGTTTTTTAGTTTTTGCGGTTTTAAAAAGTTTTGTTGCAAATGTTTTTTTTTTGCTAGAAAGATGGTTCATGGTTTTTTTTTTTGTTGTTTTTTTTTTTTTATTATTATTATTTTCATTCAAACATTTTTAGAATGTGTCGGTTTTTTAGTTGTTGCCGTTTTAAAAAGTTTTGATGCAAATGTAAAATTGTTTATGTCTAAATCAAAAGAAATAATTTTCATTTTTAAGGGTCCCTGTTTGCATGAGGGTAAATGTATAAAAAATTGGATCTAAATCATTTAACAAGCTGCTAATACTCGTTCATTTGTTTTCTTATGCATAATTATATGAGACGTCAAATTTATTTTGATACGCATTTACTTCAATTTTATATATTTTTAAGTTGTCCTATAAATGTTTTATACTTGTGGGAGTGGGGTGTTAACAGTTCAGTGATTACGCCCAAATAAAACTGAATATGTAATCAAAATAATCATTTGAACTTCCTTAGTATGCCAGTCATAATGTGTTCTCACAAAGGCCCTATTCCATGCATAAAACGGGTGTCCAGATTCCGCATTTTATAGCTAATTATGGCCCATAGAAATTAGAGCTTTTCTATTTGGGCCTCAATTGGTATTTCAACTATTTTGTAGCTTTTTACATTAGTAAGAGAATTATTTCAATTTAAACTGCCACAGTTCTATCATACATTTTTTTAGTTACTTTCATAAATGTATAGATAGATAAAGAGAGATACATGTAATTATATATGTATATGTGTTAGCATGAGGGCTGTACCATGTTTGTGTACCAAATGAGCTCAATTTATATGACTGCCGTATGTTGTTTTTTTTAAATTTTATTTCATCATGTTATATTGGGACATTGTCATTCTCATTATAAAGGGAAATTGTCATTCTGATAAACAAGAAAATTGCCATTTTTAGATATAGGAAAATTGCCATCCTGATGAATGGGGAAATCATCATTCTGATATATGGGAAAATTGTCATTCTGATATATAGGAAAATTGACATTCTATTATGTGGGAAAATTGTCATTCTGATATATAGGAAAATTGACATTCTATTATGTGGGAAAATTGTCATTCCGATATATAGGAAAATTGGCATTCTATTATGTGGGAAAATTGCCATTCTGATATATAGGAAAATTGGCATTCTATTATGTGGGAAAATTGTCATTCTGATATATAAGAAAATTGACATTCTGTTATATGGGAAAATTGTCATTCTGATATATAAGAAAATCGACATTCTTTAATATGGGAAAATTGTCATTTTGATATATGGGAAAACTGGTATTCTCAGTTTGTTTTAATATTTGAACAAGAGAAATGTGAAAGGGGACCAAGAGCTCCAATCTTATGTCCTCGAGCTAAGGGATCTGATCTAAGGGCCCCGAACTCATTACATAAGTAAAATAGTTTAATCCGATTTGAAAGAAAGCTGATAGTTAAGAGAAATTTCAGACTTTTTTTTAAAAAGCGCCTTAACATAGGATGCCTGCAAATTTAAATAATTAATTCCCTCATTTCCTGAACCTTGAGTCTTTCAGCAAGTGACAGGCATCACACAAAAAAAATGTAAAAAGTGCTTTTAAAATAAGATTTTTGTTGTAAAATCTCCAGCTGTTGCCAAATCATTTAACTGTGCTCCATCGGTGCTTCCAAAGTGTTCATACATGATGAAACAAAAAACCTGAATGAACACGCCAGGCTTAAAAAAAAAAAAAGTTTTTTCTTTTTAGTGTTCATCAGTTTGGCTCTATACCACGTGTCATTGTTAGATCTACTGACAGTATATTTCTTGGAATACAGTGATCCCTCGTCTCTCACTTATCTATGTCTATTTGTATTGGGGATTTTTTACTTGAATGTATCTAATTTTTTTATCCCTGATTTTTAGCAATGTCCCTGGGATTTTGGGAAACCTAGATATTTTTATATATTTATTATTTTACTTATATCTGCGGTAAAATAAGCATTTTCTAGCCAAAAAATATATATAAAACATTTATTAGAAAAGAATATTAAATGGCAATAAAATAGGCAGCATGTAGCAGAGGAGTAGACTGGTTTCAGGTGTCAGTATGCAAAATGCAGCTTTGGCACACTTTTGGCTAATGGATGGGAGGTAACCAACCAGTGCACTGTGTTCTGTATCCTTTCACCACCCGCGCATAGCATGGGTCCAGCATCTCACCTTGTTTAATTTCACACTGGCGTCTGATCATTGCACACCGAAGTCTGATCATTTCACACTGACGTCTGATCATTGCATACAGGGTTGCTCTGCAGCGTTGTGTTTTGTGAAGCCCTACGGCGCCACCCAAACCTTCTGTTCCGCCCTACGGTGCCACCCAAACCTTCTGTGCCGCACTACGGTGCCACCCAAACCTTCTGTGCCGTGCCTTCTAAGCTGTTTTTAAATGTTGGAAAATTTAATAACATTGAGTTAAAGGTTTATAAGAGTGTGTGGGGGGGTATAACACCATAAAATATATAAAAATAATATACTGAATATAAGGTTGCTACTTTGCGGATTTTGGCCTAACGTCGGTGGGGTGTGCTGGAACCTAACCCCCGTGACAGATAAGGGACCACTGTTAAGTTGTTGTTTTTTTAAGTTTCTATTTTGGGATTACTTTATTGAAAGCTTTTTTTTATCTGTGGCATTGTCCTTTTTTTTTTTTTTTTTTAGTGCGCCGGGCTATTTGATCAAGGGGTGTGGGGGGGAAAAAAGAGGTGTGGGGGTGGGGGATGGTGGAGAAACATCTTTTGTCCATGAGGCTGGTCAAAATAATAAGCAACTGCAACTAAAAACAGGACTTTTGATCTAGGAACCTGCCACCTCGACATTCTAATGGCTGAATTTGTGTTTTCACTTTATGTGCCAGTTGTCCTATTGCTTTACTCCAGCATGCCACAGGAATTTTTGCATTTGAACAAAAAAAACTATGTTTACGAGAATACATCTTAGTCTTAGTGTTGTTCTCAACCTGCCTGCTTGTATACCTCATAAGGAAGATTCCAAAATGCTTTTACTTACGGATCGTATGTTTCATCAACCAAAGCTCACATAAATTATGGTTTATATTTTTCAAGTATATTTTTACAGGTGGATACAAAGAACTGCTTTTACTTGTTTGTACTGTAGTTAGTGTTTCATTTATTTTATGTTATGAAATTTAATCAAAATACTTTTAGCTGAACTGATATACATTTTAGGTTTATATTCAGCATTTGTTGTGAATTATTTTTTTTACTCTTATAATAAGTCCATTTTTTTAATAAAAATCAAT